CAGTATATTTTAGTTGATTAATCATATATAAAATAGTAGTGAGAGTTTTATTAAGTGACCCACTGCAGATGTAGTAGATTAAAGAGAACTAATCCCTTACTGACCATTTGAGCTTCAGAAAGAAAGAACATTCTCAAAGTAGGATTCTTAAAATGTTGTTGTTGGACTGCTTCACTAAAACCTGACATGTAAATATGCCATATTTTTCTCTGATACATTTTATTTTCATCATTTTTATTATTTATTTTGAGTGTAACTTTGTGCAAAAAAGTGTTTATGTTAAAAATTCTTCAAACAATGCATACTAATTTTTTATTTCAAATAAGAATAAGAATGTATATAAGAGAAACTCTAGTGATTGTTCCCAATGTGCACCTAGCATGATATAAATGCCATCTTGGAATTATAATGAGATAATTTTATGAATTTTGGTACAGGGCCATAGCTAACTTGTAAGAATTGAAGCAGCACAATTACTTTGGACTATCTATACATATTGGATTTAAGTGATGTGAGTTTTTGACTACACATGGTCCACAAAAGAAATGTAGTATTTGCTTTTTTCAAGGATCATCTGAGAAAAGACAGTTAGAATCAGGATTTTGGTGGTTGGAAAAAAAACAAAACCTGCTTTTCAAAAATACAGGAAAGGATATTGCTATAGCCCATAAAAACAGCTCTATAGTTGCTTCAGAACTACAGACTGACAATGTAATTTTGCATGTGTCTACTCTTATCATTGCTTTCAATGGTGTTTCCTCTGATAGATTCCTATTAATCTGTATATAGGAATTCAGATTACCTGAGACTGGTTCTTTCTAAATGTGTACAAGGTGGGGTCTATGATTATTTTTCTCTTCTTGGCTACACTGTAAGAGTCATCACAACATGAGGTAAAGGAGGGAGACAAAAAGCAACAGCTAGTCCTGAGATTCATTACCATATTGCAACTGGGGTAGAGAAGGTTGAGGATTCTTCTCAGCCAGAGTGAATAGGCAGCAAGGCAGGCATGGGACTGGAGCACCCTTTCCATCACTTAACTTAAACAGAGTCACAATGTAGAAAGCTGAGTAATCCTTATTTCCAAAGATGAATGGCATGCCTGAAAGATTTGCTATGCCTTAATCTTTGGGGAATGGGAGAAGGTTTCTTTCTAGGCTGTATATGTAGCAAAGTCCTGAAGCAGAACAAGTATAATTATACAGTATCTTAATCTATACCAGAACATTGAAGTGCTCCTGTTTAAATAACCCAACCTGAACTGTTTTAGACACCAAATGCATATATGTATGAAGAAGCCATCTGTAATATAATTATGCATATTCATTGCATATAGGGTATACATCTTTTAATATTATAAACCAAAAAGCACTGAGGAAAAAATAGCCTTTTAAAATTGCTTTTTCACCCATTGATCTGGGCTCTGTTTAAAAAAGCCACCATAATTAAAATATTTTTTTAAAAAATCACAAGTATCTCCAGATGTGCTTGGAAAATAGACTTCTGTTTATTTTATTTTGAAAAAGAAGTCAATAAAATGAATGGTCTATAGATGTGTGTGTTTGTTTAATTTAGTGCAAAAATAAATTTATTGGGGTGGCAGGAGAATGTATTATGAAAAGAAGAAAACACAGTTAAATATCAGATACATTCAATGAGCTTTCAAATCCACTGCACCAACTGGGATAAATAATTTAATAAAAACTCACTTCATGTGCTGCCTCCTCAGTGCTATAGACAGTTATTAAAAAATAAAACTTCATGAGTAGGGGGTGTGTAGAATCACAACTACACAATATGCAAAATGTGTTATAAATATAAGCACTTGTGCTAATATATGCAATCTAACCCGTTATCAATATGCTTATAAGGGCTGCTTAATGAAATGTTAAACCTGAAGTCATGCAGTCATTTACTGGAACACAAAATATTTTCATCAACATGTATCTTTAACTAAATTTGGCTTCTAAAATAATACAGGAATGATTTTTGACATAATATTTTATATGGATGTCTGGAAATTCTAACTGCAACAAATAATGTAAAAGTGGGCAGATCTAAGCAACTGGAGAGGAAAAAATAAAGGATATAACATTTCATTATACTTCCTATCCCCTTTTGTTCTTTGCACAATAATAAATTTGATCAAATTATTTCTGTTTTGCTTCCCAACAAAACATGACACTAAAACTGAAACTAGTATCCAGTTGGTATCTGGAACAAAGAAAAGTAGAAAGTGCAATGCTTTAAATTTGTGAGCATATCAACCCCAAACAATCATCTCAATCTTTTATCTAATGCACCATTATTTTATGACAATGTATTTGGGAAGGCATTTATTAATATTCAGTCCAATCCACCACCTACTTAGAAAAGTACTGGGATTCTTGTCAGTATGTTTCTCTTTTGATTGCATGAAATTAAAATCAAGGTAAAGTCAATGAAGTTTGACTAGTTGGTTAGACTGATTTTTAAATAATAAATGACTGAGTTCACACTGAGCTTGGCGACTCTACCAATTTCAAGTATAGTCTCTTTTTTTCCTGAACATTTTACAATTCATTTGTATGTCTTCTAAAATGTTTGAAATTTAGTTTAAAACTAATATGCTAATTTCCATTTCATATAAATCGAAATAAACTAGTGTATTTTATAACTCATATTTATTTTATTAACTGCATGGCTCCTATAGTACACTTCAATATGCCAAAGCCATTTGAATCAGTAGTGGCAACTGCTGAAATAATAATAATAATAATAATAATAATAATAATAATAATAATAATAA